GGGAGCTCAGAGGCTCACCTCGCCAGCTCTAACGCGAGCTCAATAGCTTGCTTCGCCAGCTTCCTCATTTTTCCGCTGCTCACTTCTTTCTTTCTTCCTTCCAACTGTTTTCGAGCACGCTTTATACTTTAAATATTCCTTTTGCTCTAATTTTATCTCTATTGTACCTACACTTAAAATAGACTCCATTACGCATAAATAAAGTATAGTCTAGCATTAAAGCACCTAAAATGTAAGGTAAATAATCACTAAAATGTGGAATTATAGCCGCACATCAATACCCCATACTTCAACGTTTCTCGTCCTCGAGCAATCAAACTACACTTATAAACATGACCTTTTTAAGCAATTCACTTAACTCGTCACACCAAGAATCTTTAAAATATACTAAGCACAAAGGTGTAACATCCTCACCTCAAGATTTGACTCACAAATACCATGCATTATTCATAATTCACTTACTTACTCTAACATGGAGGTCAACGACATTACCTCTCTATCATGAATCACGTGAAATTCCCCGGGTCTGACAACTTCTCAGCTATGGGTCTCGCCACGATAGCACTACAGGTCCGGGTTAGTGTAACAATGGCCAAGTCTTGGAAGTCGAACTTGCGAGACATCAAATCCTTCATCATTTTGGCATACGGAGGCATCTCCCTTAAGGCATCAATCAGTGGAATGTTCACCTGGATTTGTTTTAACATCTCCATGAATTTCTTATACTGCTCATCCTTCTGATATTTGGCCAATATCTGTGGGAATGGTGCTGGAGGTCACTTCCTTCCTGTGATTTGAGTTTGATCCTGCTCGGGCACTGCTTCTACTGCCTTTTCTTGCACCACCTCAGTCTCATTCACAACCTCTTTTTCTTTGCTTGCGTCCTCTTGTGCATGTTGTATCGTTACCTCAGTCAACCCTGTTGGATCATCTACCTCAATGGGTACTGGCACAAGAGTTTCAGTTGGCCGGCTTTCGCGAGCAATTTCTTACTCTAGATCTAGATCTCTACCATTTCTTAGACTCACTGCCATAAGCTGCTTCGGGCTCTGCTCTTTTGGATTGACATGTGTGTCTGCAGGTAACGTCCCTTGGGGCGATTATTCAGAGCCATTGATATCTACCCTAATTGAATCTCAATGCCTTTTATCGTTGAGTCATGTGCGTCCACTCTCTCTTGCATTTTTCCATTGGCCCCAATCAGTTGTTGCAACATTCCTTTAATTTCAAACAACCCATCATCTTGTCTTACTATCTGTTGTTGTTGAGGCTATTGATACGCTAGTTGCTGATTTTGCTGGTTGTATCCTTGTTGCCTTTGGTAAAGCACAACTTAACCTTGTGGTCGCATAGCTCCAGGATTGCTGCTATTATTGTATTGTTGTTGTGCTGGTCTATATTGTTGATTCTGTTGCCCCCAATTCTGACCACCTTGCCTCTGTCCTCAATAGTTGTCCACATAGTTCATAGCTTTCTGATAGTGCTGGTTGTCACTTTTTGCACTCCAAGAGCATACCTATAGTTGGTTAATGCATGGCGTACATAAGCCCCCATTAGTCGCATCAACTATGTGTACTTGCTGCTTCTGGCCTGATTCATCGATCTTTTTGGTGAGGATACTCATTTGCGTCATCAGAGTGGCCATATTTTTGGCTATGGAGTTGTTGGGGTCTAAAGCCACAGAGTGAACGATAGGAGTGATTGTAGAGTTTCTTGTCATCCATCTTGAGTTTTGAGTCATTTTATCAAGTAGGATCTTGCATTCTCTGAATGATTTGCTCAAAAATGCTCCACTTGCTGAAGCATCAACATTGGCCTTTAAGTTGTTTGCCAATCCATGTAGAACCTCTATCCCAATAGCTGATCTGGAATACCATGATGTGGACACTTAACCAGCATACCCTTGAACCTCTCCCACGTTTCTTGTAATGTTTCTGTTGGTCTCTGCGTGAAGCACAATATCTCATCAATTTGTTTGGCAGTCTTATTGGTGGGTAGAACTTGTTCAAAAATTGCTTGACTAATTCCTCCCAAGTAGTGATGGAGTTTATGGGGAGTGAATTAGGAGCCTCTCCCGTCACCTAGAATGGAAACATTAGCAGGTTTATTGCTTCCGGTGTCACATTAGGTTGCTTTTGCATGACACATATCGACAAGAAATTTTTTAGATGCTACTGAGGATCTTAAATGTAAGACTCTGAGAACAGTCACTTGTTCTGCAACAGATGTAACATGTTGTTTGTGATTTGAAATAATTCTGCTTGTATCTGAGGGACTGCAATTGTGGTTGCCAGATTTTCGGCGGTGGGTTGTGCCCAATCATACAAGGCTGCTTCTAGCACAAGAGGCACCACACCCTGATTGTTCGGGTTATTCGCATTATTTCTATTGTTTGGGTTTTCTATTACGTCATCCATGTTTGGTTCGATTTGTTCTATTAGGTTCTGTTTCTGTTTGCCCTTCTTGTTTGCATGATTCAGTGCCTTGAAAACTTTCTCAGGATCTGATAATGCTTCGAATAATTTACCAGTTCTTGAGGAGTTTCTAGGCATGCACCTCTAACATCCAAGACTACAAACGTTAAAATTTCAATGTATTTACTTTAAAATGAAGAAAATAGACTACACTAATAATTCTAGCACTTCTTTTAGCTGCAACTAATAACATCGTTAATTTCCGGCAACGATGCCAAAATTTGATCATGCCCAACTATGCCTTATAAAAAGGACTAAGCGGTCGTTGCAAATATATTGCGGTTAACAAGTCCGGAGTCGAATCTCACAGGGAATTAACCTATTAAGCACAGCTACTAGACTCGCACAAATTCACGCAATCAATATTCAAAAATATTTAAATAACAAATTGGATATTTACTAACTAAATATCACGTAATAAAAATGCAGTAATTAATAACTAACTACGAACAAGTTGTAGACAAGGATTGGAATGGTTTAAGATTTTGATTTTCCCTATTGTCGGAATCCTTTCTGCTGTGTTTTCTATAAATTTGCCTAAGTTTTCTCTACCGATCATGAGCTCTCTGAGTGTCGTAATTCGCTCCGCTCCCGAGTAACTACCATAATTTACTAGATATATTCTTCCAAATTATATTAGCTGGCACTAAGTTATGGCTTACTCGGATCGTACCAAGGTTTCGTTATTCCTAATCCCATATTTAAACCCTCTGTATTGATCCCCCGTATACGTTAGGAGTGATGTTGTTCAACAACTACCTAAATATGCACTCTCTTCCGAGTCATACACACTAAATAGGCACAGTCGATTGAGAGCTCTTCAACCAACCACAATATAAACGTAGTTAAACAAATAGAGAAAAAGTTACGGCAAATCTATATTAATGTAACATAAAAATCATCCTCCAATAGGTTCCATCAAAACCCTAGATTAGAAATTTAGCTACTTATACTCATAGTAACAATATCCCAAGTATTTTGCATAAATAAATTATAAAGTAAAGATGAAGGAATGTAGAAATCGATGGTTCTATCCCCCAACAGGTGTTCCACGAGCTATTCTTGCCTCCGGTCGCAAAACTCTTCCAAAAGCGGTGTCTAATGCCTATTTATATGTGTAGGAAAAGACCTAAACGACATAACCCCAGTCCAAGTCTAACAAGGAGATGAAATAAGCCTTCAAAATCCAGATCAGGCTCGCCTCAGACCGTGCCTCGTGAGGTAAACGCGACATGAATCTCGCCTCAGACTGTGCGGCGCCTGCCTCCACGCGAGCTCAACCTCGCCCTACCCCTCGCGTCTCCTGCTCCCACGCGAGCTCAGAGGCTCGCCTCGCCAGCTCTAATGCGACCTCAATAGCTTGCTTTGCCAGCTTCCTCATTTTTCCGCTCCTCACTTCTTTCTTTCTTTCTTTCTTTTTTTCAACTGTTTTCGAACACACTTTATACTTTAAATATTCCTTTTTCTCTAATTTCTTCTCCAATGTACTTACATATAAAATAGACTCCATTACGCGCAAATAAAGTATAGTTTAGCATTAAATCACCTAATGTGTAAGGTAAATAATGTACTAAAATATGGAATTATAGCCGCACATCAATAGATAATATAATAAATATAAAGCAGAGAAGAAACAATTCTTATTGAATGATCCTTGATAGGATGATGAGCCAAACAGTGCTTGAAGGGCCGAACTATGGCTAACTTGGGAGCAAGATCCTATGAATTACAATGTATATAATTGTGAAGAAAAATTAGATTCCCCCGATGGAGATAAAAGTATGTCTATTTATAGGGCTAGATCTAAGTAACCATTCTCCTTGAATTATGGGTCCATTATGAGCATTTACTCAATCCATCCGTTATTTTTGGAAGACTTATAACAACAGTGTAAATGTTGGAATTCCGTAACTGATGAGTTAATTCCGTAATTGAGGAATCAATCACGTGCCTGTTGAGTCAATCTCGTGCCTGTTGAGTTAATCTCGTACTGTTGAGTCAATCTCGTAATTGTTTGCCTTGTTTTGACCGTTTCAATCATTTATTACATTTATTATACATTACATAAGTGATTTGTAACTGTTGGCATAATGATGGTAAATCTCATGTAATCCAGGATTAATTGATTCTTTACTCATTTGTAATTATGAGCTATTCTCCCATAACTGATCCAGAACTATTTTATGATTGTCAGTTCCAAGACTAATAGGCACGGTACGAGTATGCTCGGTCCCAAGGGTGTCTCACATATCATCTTTACATTTCATTCTTCATTTTTCTCATAACTTTGCTGACATGTGTCGCCATTTAATAGACCCGTGTGGGGAGTGTATTTTTCACTAATACAGAAAGTTCAAACAGCAAATGATCCTAATGTGTCGATAGAAAAGAATCAGATTATAATCAGCCATCTCAAAGGATCAATATAAATTCCAAGTAGCCTTGACACACAATCAATGCTGAAAGATGTAATTAGGTCCTACACACAATCCATCTTCTTAAATAGATACAGTGCAAGAACAAGGAGTAGTTCCACTTACAGCAAAGAAAAACATAAAATGGTAGTAATAGTGCAGAATAAAGACTGGCTTGCTCTGAGTGAAACTACAGAGAAGAATGTAGAATACATTTTTAAATGTGAAAAAGTCTGAGAGAGCTGCCGAATGAAGTGAACGACTATTCATGTTATGAGGTATAGAGTTTTGTCCTTAGATATAAAATTAGTTTGAAAAGATACCCACTGAAGAACCCATGGAAGCTTCTATCTAAGGTACATGTATTGAAATAAAATCTTGGACTCGACTCATTCTGAGGGAACGTCAATTATCTCTGAGATATGTGCATTTGTGAAAAAATAGTCTCTCAACTCTTGTTGCTCCATACATGAAAAGTTTTGCATCTTGACTTGCTTTAACTTATGCCTCCAACATTTCCAAGGTAGCGATGCACAACAAGACTTCTCATCTTCATTTGATGCATCTTCGTGTATAAACTGTAAAACCGGGAAAATCAGTAAGAAAACGTAATTACATATTACATAAAAAGAAAACACAAAGTAGCAACAAAACCTTAGTAACAACTTAGCAAATTTGGTTCTTTTACAAAGTCAGAACAAATTACCTTCAGGGTCTTTAAGACTCGAGCCTCGTTAAAAGATATGGTGTCCAGTTGAGGAGAAATCCAAAGCAAACTATCAACAACCTCTACAACTAAATGCTTCCATCGTTTCTCAATATCTACGTGCAAATTATTAGTAGCATAAAGTGGAGGAAGCAAGTTTACTCTCATGTCTTGTGGTATAACTATCCTCTGTAACAACCGAAAAAAGAAAACAAATTATGAGAAATCAATAACACGACTATCTTGTTGAAGCAATGTAGCTAGAGAATTTGCGGGACATACCTCATCCTTTTTGCTTGATAATTTAATAGATAAGGAATGATTGAAGCTACCAAGAAAATTTGTGAGGTTAGAGTTGTACCAATCACTATCAGGGGTTTCTAATGAGTCAAAGGAGATATTGGCTTTTAATGAACGTGAAGCTTTTAGTTTCAACGTTGGCAATGAACAACAACCAAATGCGAATAGTATCAAATTAGGAGTATATACTTGAGCATCAACCAGATTAGAACAACCAAATACTATGAGCTGTTTGAGCCATATACTTGAGATCTTCATTGTGGTCAATGTATTGCAACAGGATAAGTAAAACTTTTCAAGATTTTGTAGGCTGAAAAAGAGTTTCTCTAACCATTTATCGGTCACGGCCACACCATTGAGGAACAAACTCTTGAGAGCTTTGCAAGCAGTTATTTTAACAAACTTTAGGTCCCAATAACTTTTTATAGTAAGGTCTTCAAGACTAATTGCTGCAATATCAACCATCTGGAATTCAGAAGGGCAATTTTCCAGCTTTATTTTCTTTAGTTTAGGTAAATTCTTTTCACCAACTTGAAAACTAGCAAGTCCCTTAAACCACGCCAAATACAAAAATTCTAAATTGTGGCAGCTTACGCATAGAGCCTGAATAAATTTCTCGTCCAAAATTACATCACGGAGGTGTAATTCTCGCAAAGATGATAAGTTTATAGTACCATGAGAGGGTAATTCAATCTTAAATCCAACCAAATTAAGCACATTTAGTGCTTTGGCATCAAAGATTACCTCAGGCAACTTATTGTGTAACTGTTTTCCTTCATAAATACGTCTGCCTACACTTAGATCAAACTCTTTGACATTACAAGCTACGAGTAATTTAATCCACCTGTGAACATAATAAAACCTCCTACGCAAATAGGGTAATCGTAGCCAAAACTTTTCCACAGAAATCTTGTGCTTTAGCCGAATTACTAGAATTTGGGTCACAGCTTTCAAGAGATTTCGCATGTCTTGTGGCCCATAGAAAAAATCTTCACCAAAATCTAAGTAGGAGAGTGAATTCAATGCACTGGTCCAAATCTTGGACAGTGTAGACATTCGTACAGCATCTTTAACAAGAAGGAAAGACAAGATGTGATGCAAAATTGGCTCTGGCAGTTGGGAAATTCGGTCTCTTGTATCCTCCATATTACTTTGATGGAATTCTCCGACAAATTTAAAATCCACAATGCCACAGAATAAACAAATATTTATAGTAGTAACTGCCATTCCTACACCAAATTGTGGTAGGATTTGGAGAAGGTAGACACCAAACAACAAAAGGGGAAGTAAGACAACAATTATAAGGTCCATATAAACTCCTCCTCCCATATAAACTCTTTCCTTTTTTTGGGTCTGTTTCAGGAATTTTTTTTAAGAATATTTAGAAACTTTTATTAAATTTTAATATTTTAATTAAATTTTATAAGTAGTTTATTTGGCCAAATTTTTCTGCTTTTGGATTAGCTTCTATCTAGAAGTAGAAACACAACAAGAAAATTCATTTTTTTTTAGATAACTCTTACACTTTCAATTTTAATATAATTTCAATATCTTTAATAACAAAAAATACCTTTACCCTTATTTCAATAAGACTGTTAAAGTCCAGAATAGTGTCTAAATATCTGTACAGTAATTTAAACGGATATTTGTAAAGAGGATATTTTTCTATAGTTATTCATGTATGTCGTTCAGTAATACAAAATTTAACTAAAATACATTAATAAAGAAAAACAACAAGTACTTGCATATATTTCAATCTCTTATTATTCGTAATCGTGATATTATGGTTCACATAGTTATAACTTTTTCATCATCTGGTTGTCTAACACTAAACTATTCGCATATAACTTGAAAAAAGAAGTATTATTATTATGGCTATAGTTGACTGGTCAAGATGGACGGAGCTACCTTATGTTAAGGAATTGATACTCTTTTGCCATAAAATTACACTATTAGTTAGGTCAAACTTTTTTATGCATATATACTATATGTTGATTCTCCTTATTTTCTTTACATATTTTTTTTTTAATATTTGATAGTCATCAGTAAAATTTCTGGCTCAGTCACTGCTGATCAAACGTAAAACCAAAATGGGTCATTATCTTTTTTTAAAGCTTAATGAAAATAATGAATTAATACTTCTACCATCAAAAGAAAAGAAAGAAGACCATGTTAACAACAATTTTAAAATGATATAGTTTGATTTAATTACTAAATAAGATATTTTAAATGAATTATTCGATTTATTAACCTCACTAAGTTCTTTTTGTGAAATATTAAATTGCCAACATAATCGGTTTTATTTCATATATTTATTTTATGAAGACATTAGCAATGAGCTTATGTTTAGCTTATTTGGCCACTGCATCACATTTATAGATTATGTTGTTTGGCATATGTTAATCGTCTGTTAGCTTGGTATTTCTTTTAACAATGTACCTGGATTATTCAGTACATAATTAGTAGTATTTTGCTTTCTACTAATAGAAATTATTTCAATATACTAACTAATAATAATAGCTAATGACACCATAAGATGTTAATATTTTAGAAGTTACTTTAAATTTTTGTTTATTTCAAATAGAAAGTGCATAACATATCTTATATTATAACATATTATTACTACTATAATAATTTTACTTATCCACCAAACCGTCTCAGTCTCGACCAAATATCACTGTGTAAATATATCCAATTTGCAGCTCATACATTGTTGAAAACTAAACCAAGATTAATTAGTATTCCTAAGTTGTCTAGGATTTGATATTTGGTAGTTTATTTAGTTCATGTCTAGTTAGGTTTTGTTTACCAATTTTATATTGAAATAGGTTTTTGATTTTGTAGTATTATAAATAGGGGTGTTACTACTTGTTTTCTTGTAGAGAGATTCAAGAGTTTATGAGTTGTGAAAAAGCCTCCTACCACGTTCTCTCCCTAGTTTAATAAATTTCTTCTATATAGTCTTTGTTGAATTTTCTGACAAAATAAATCTGATTCACTTTCTTCACATAATCTTCAACAGGTCGCATCTCCAAATCTCCACCACAAAGTTTGTCTCAACGTGAGTAGTACTCCGGTCAAATTTCTCAGATAAAATCATGATTACCGTTAAATAGGTTGCGGCTAGAACTAAACCCACCAAGATGAGCCTGTCTTGAATCTTGCTCTGATACCATTTTGAAGGATTGAAATACCCCAGGAATAATTTAGGCACAAGCAAAAAGTTCAACAAATACTATATAGAAGAAATTTATTAAACTAGGGAGAGAATGTGGTAGGAGGTTTTTTCACAACTCATAAACTCTTGAATCTCTCTACGAGAAAATAAGTAGTAGCACCCCAATTTATAATAGGGAAACTTACACAAATATCCCAAATAAGTCTCAACTTACCAACCTGTGGCCATTAGTCATAGACTTACCAAAACTAGTCAAACACATATAAAAATTAAAAAATCAAATAAATAAGGTTCTTTCTCTCAAAGAATCACATGAAAAAATCTCCTTCCATATTTTTAAGCGTGATTAGCAATATTAGATGCAAGACGGAAAGGAAATTTCATGGATGAGGTAGCACCCCAATTTATAATAGGAAAACTTACACAAATATCCCAAATAAGTCTCAACTTACCAACATCTGGCCATTAGTCATAGACTTACCAAAACTAGTCAAACACATATAAAAATTAAAAAATCAAATAAATAAGGTTCTTTCTCTCAAAGAATCACATGAAAAAATCTCCTTCCATATTTTTAAGCGTGATTAGCAATATTAGATACAAGACGGAAAGGAAATTTCATGGATGAGGTAGCAAATAAGGTGATGAAATACAAAAAAAATTATAATATTCCAAAAATCTAAGCAAAAAAATAAAACTTTTTCAATCTTTGCTCGAGAAGCCTAGATCACTAGTTTTGGACTATCGAGAAACCCCCCTCTGCCCGCATCCCTGGAACTTGCTTTGCTTTTTGGGTATAGTTGAAATTCATTGAAAACATATATATAAGTCAATATATAAAATTTGAGAAAGATTTGGACTGGTTTTGTATCAAAATTCGTAATTAAATCGAGTTCAAAAAAATTTTTTGCGACACATGTATCACGCATGTATCTCACACATAAGTATACATGTGATACACAATTGATACAAATATGATACATATGTGATACACAGATAATACACCGTGTGATACACATATTATTTTTTTCGCGTTCAGTTTTTACTTCGAATTTCCAATTCAAACCACCTCAAAACTTCACCAAATCATCCCAAAAATGAGATTTAAGCTCCTTAAGATATACTCAATCTATTCTAATAACACTCACTCAAAAGAAAGCAAAAATTTGACCTTTTTTTTTTTCTACAAATAGCTAATTAGCTAATATTAGTAATATCTTATGAATTTGCCAATTTTTGTAATGAGCTACTTATAAATGGACATAACTGGTACAAAATCGAAAACCTATTCCAATATAAAATTGGTAAACAAAACCTAACTAGACATGAATTAAATAAACTACCAAATATCAAATCCTAGGTAACTTAGAAATACTAATTAATCTTGGTTTAATTTCCAAACATATATACATGGGCATGTTGCTAATCTAGAGATTCAAGATAGGTCGTTGTATAGCAATGACTTTGAGCTGTTTTGGCAGCCATAGTACACGGCCGAGGAGAAATATTCAACACCCTATTATCACCCATTTCTTGCATTTTATAAAGTCAATTAGATGGTGAATTGTCACATATGTCAAAAGGAAATGGGTGGAAAATAGAAGGAAGTTAGAAGTATAGATAGAAATACTGAGAGAAACGGCAATTGGATATTGTCATGAAGTTTTGCCCTATTTTCCGATTACATGGCTGAAAAGTGATTAGCCCCCGTTATTATTACCATTCGTTGTGTAACACCCCCATTTTTGGTTGTGCAGTTATATTTCTTCGCTGTAAATATCCAAGAGATACTTCTTACTAGAATTCTAATGTAGTCTTCTGGTATTGTTTATTAGGTCTTAATTATCCAAAATAAGATGTGTATTTCTAGCTGAATTTTGTTGCCTATCACTATCAGTATGTGGAGACTTTCTTTTACAAAGTAAGGATTCCATTCTATGATTTTACGAATAGAAAATACGTGCTTTAAAAACTTTGTGATTATTAAGGGATACAACATGTAGAATAGTTCAACATGTGAATTGTCTATCTCCAACATATACAACTACACCCTTGCTGGTTATTTTGTAAATATTTTTTTCTAAATTAGTTAATTACTTTTAAGAGCATTCCCTTAATTTCCCTATATTAACCATGGTAATAGCAAGATGCAAAAGTTAATGACATGAGCTTTAGAGACTTTCAAGTTAAGCCCAACTTCTTGTTTAACCAAAAAGACAGATTGACACCTTCCACGATTCGGAATTTTTTCGGAGTGGGTGATCTTTAACTTTTGTCTTTGCTTACCTCATGGGTAGAATTTTAAATTTAACAAGTATTGTCCCTCGCTAACAAAACTTTTAACTTTTGACCTTGAAAAATATACCTAAAAAGGTATCATATTTTTGTAATTTTTTGACTTTTAACTTATCAAGGCTCGTATTAAACTCCAAAATCACAATGTCACCCACGTAATGGTGCGATCATCAACTCAGCTACACTAGCCAATTTTATACCAAAAGCAAAATCTTTGTTTACGTGGCAAAATTGAACTTGAAAGAGACCTAATGACTTGGTTATTTAGATTTGGGACAAAAGTTGCAATAAAAAGTGAAAGAAAATCTTATCTTATGTTCCAACCAATTTCTTTTTTAATTCAAATAAACAATCACTTTAGGAGCTTCTAGGTTCTCTCTATGGTCTATCCATAACTACTGGGTCCACCTCGTGGCACTTTTGTACCCTTTCACAATTCTCCCTTTGATCTTTCTTTGGCCTTTTAGGAATCCCTAATTTCCTGCCCCTTTTTCCCCTTTTACTCGAATCAATTCTTGTTATTGTTTTGGTCACTTTAATGTCTCTTCTTATCATTTTCCAACATAGGCCGACTGTTTTTTGTACTGCTCAAAGTACATGTCTTTTTTCCCTTGGTGAGTAATCGCTTGATATCGAGGTCAATAGTTGGTTTTGATTTCTGGGTTGTTGGGATTTTGTTTTGGTGGGTTTTGTCTGTTTGCTTGAAATTTTTGGTGGATTTCTGTGTTTTCCCAAGTGGGTCAGTTTTATTTGGCTTGCAGTCCAGGAAATTTGAGTAAAAGAACTGATTTTGGGGGTTTGATCTATGAAATTCTACTGTTTATGCTAGGAAAAAATTGATCTTTGAATTCTTGGGGTTGTGATTTTTTTAATTAGAAGGAGTGATTGATTGGGATTAACCTGTAGGAGAAGACTAGGAGAGGAGTAATTATTACGAGGAAAAAAGGAAATGAAGAGAGGGAAAGGTGAAGAGAAAGTGATGGGGCCAATGTTCCCAAGGCTTCATGTAAATGATACAGAAAAAGGAGGTCCAAGAGCCCCTCCAAGGAACAAGATGGCTTTATATGAGCAGCTTAGCATACCTTCTCAGAGATTCAATTCAGGGGTTTTGCCTCTTAACCCCAACAATAACACTGCAAAGTTGCCCCCTCCTTCCTCTAACCAGGTACAACTAGTTTTCAACAAACTCTTTGTGCTTTTTGAACAGGATATGTGTTGCTTAAACTGTAGAATAGAGTCAGGCCCTAACTTTGGTCTTTGAGTAGTTTGGTTTACTGTTCTGAGCAGTTTTTGGATGTTAGTTATTTTTAGTGTGCGTCTTGACTTAGTCTTACATTGGTTTCTTTTTTGTTGTTTGAATTTGGGCTTGTGTTTCAAGCATTAGAAAATACAGGGAAAGACAATCTTGTAGCTTATTTCTTTGGTGATAATGTACTCCCCCTTTCCTGTTTATGTAAACCTTTTCACTTTTCCAGAAACAATTTGATTAATCTTGGAAGCTAAATTGGCTTAGATTAACTCAATATTTTAAAGTTAAAATTTGGATATTAAAAAACTATACAAAAAGTACTATAAGTTGCAATTCTTCTCATGTCAACTAAAGGACAAAATGCGTTTCGAAATGTTGATCAAAGTTCACATAGTTTGAATCTTGAAAAGCCAAAAGCTTCACATAAACTGGAACGGGGTGAGTAGTAATTTTCGCTTCAATTGGTTGAACCTCATTGCGTCACTTGACATATCATGAAGGATCAATTGTCTTCGCTTTATGAGTATCAAGTGTGTTATCTTTATATATTACCTTGTGCTGATTATCATCTAAATTTGCCTGATTTTTTTGTACTTTTTCGGGACTTTCATTTGGGAGAGCACTTTCCTTTTGGATGTTTTTATGTACCAACTACCAAGTGCAAGAGAACCCTAAATTCTTCAACTTAATGCATTGTGAAGATGTAATGGTAGCTGTGTCAATGTTATATTTTTCCCCGGCTTTGTCCTGGGGTCAAAGAAAATGTAGATATTCACATTTACAGTCACATCTAATTATGTTCTTAAACTGTGTGGTGATGTTACTGCTGGGCTTTTAAAGGTTTCTTGATTTGAAACCATCTCTTTTGGGATAACGTTCATTGACTGTGTAGTTCATCGATAGCTGTAAATTTAGTGGTTGGTTGAATTTGTAAGCTGACTGGTTGGATCAACTACATTTTGCAGGGTAGTGGGCACGAAAGAGTTGTATATTTCCCTGTTCAACACCCTCCATCTGGACATCTAGCTGATAAACCACCTGGCCACAGTTCCGATCCCAATACACTCTTGGAACAATTTGAGTTAAATAAGAGAACAGAAGAGGATGACTTTACAGTCCCCGTCTTTGTTAACTCCAAGCCAGGTCATGCCAATGGGAGTCATAATCTGGATATGGAAAAGCTCTCTCCCTCTGGTCCAGTCTTCTCAGGGCATCCTAATAAAGACTTGGAAGGACTTACGAATTTAATTCTGAGACAACAGCGCGATAGCCAGAATGAGGAGAATCCCAAATGTATTCCAGCTAGTAGAGAGCATAGAACAACCTCGAACTCTCCATCCAAGGGTAAGCTGTCAGAAGGTCTTCTCATACAAATTGATGTAACTTTGCATTTCACACCAAGATGTGAGCCTCCTTATGATTTTGGCATAATACCTAAGACCAATCTTTTTCAATGACCAGAATGCAGATTTGATCGTCAGGTTGGTTGTACCATCATACCTGAACCTGTTACTGGTGTAAATGATGGCGATTCTTATCCCATGAAAGAATTTGCATCAGAAGAGCAGATAATTACTAATAATCTCATAAATGGTATGGAATCCCAGGAAGACAGGACATGTAAATCAATACAAACAGGAATTGTGGACCAAGGTGACGACTTATCTGAGACTTCCATAGTGGAATCTATGTCTGGAACGGACATCTCTCCTGATGATGTTGTGGGAATAATTGGCCTAAAGCGTTTCTGGAAAGCCAGAAGAGAAATTGTCAGGTAAGTTCTTGTTGCTTTCAGGTTGACATTTAAATTCCTTGTCACATCATGCGAAACTTGAAATATATACTGTTCCATTTGTCAGTTGGGCAGAGAAATTTTATTGACTAGCTTTTCTTTAGACCTGACTTTCATTTTCCTGATGATTGTACTACCCAGTGCCACTCAGATCATGATATATAGAGTGACAAAATGACCCCCCTAATATGTATCCTCATGGTTTTTTCTTGTAAATATAAGGTATGCTCTCTGATATATTTTCTTGTTCTTTAGATAATGTTGTGCGCTTGCAGTTTAAGGCATGTTTTGAGTACAAAGGATCTGTGTATATCAGGCACTTTTTCCTTGGTACTCTTTGCTTAATAGTTATATCTCAGCTGCTAACTTTTTTGTATTATGCCGCGTCATCAATATCTCCAAAGAGTCCAGATGATCTTTTTATGTGATGGTTTATGTTGCCACTTGATGAATTTTGAGTTACATGTTAGGTATAGATGATCGTGAATGACAATTTTGAACTTTGTGACTTAAATGTTAATTAATAAGGTGTGAGAGGTGCCATGTTATTAGAAGTTCCCCCAAAGAAAAGTTTTTTTTTTCTTCGTTTTTGTATATGTTTTTTCTTTATTACTTGGGGGTCGTTTGGTAGTCGGTTAGAGAGGAGTTATCCATGTATTAAAACTAGGATAACTTTATACATTGTTTGGTTAAAAGAAGGGGAAAAAATAATCTTCACATAGAAGCTAGCATAAGTTATACAATGTTTGGTTGTTTTTTCCTCTTTTCCACATAAAATGTAGCATTGCTAATACAATGTTTGGTTCATGTTTTTCTTTTCTGCATAACTAATACATGTATAAGTTATGAGGGAATCTATGTATTATTTATGCAGGGTAGAAGGTGGAATAACTTATACATGTATTAGTAATACTTGTATTAAAACACAAAATGACAAGAATACCCTTTATTCAAACTTGTATTTTTTTGTTTAAAAATATAAATTTAAATTATACTAACAATTTTAATAAAATAAAGTAAGCTAATAATAAATAACACTCACATTACATTTATATTACTAATCCTTATATAACTACCGCATAACTAATCCCAACATAACTCAACCTTGCATAACTAATCCCTGCATTACTTATTCCTGCATAACTAATACACATAACTCTAACCGGCAACCAAACGACCCCTTAATGATTAAAAAGATTTCTCTTTTGTTTCATGATGCTAATAGGCTACTGTGGAGTTCTGAGGCTTTCAAAAATGTTGAATTAGCATTAGTTGTTCCTCTCTTTGTTTGCCTGAGTTTGTTTTTAGTAGTTTTATAGGGAAGAAAGGAGTTTGTCTTTGCGATCTAGATTTAACTGAGTATTGCTAGTGGATCTTTTGGCACATTTGGATGAGGTAACAAGCATTAGAACACTATTTTTGGATAACTTTATATTCTCTTAGAGATGACAGTGTATCCGATTGGTGGAGTATATAAATGCCGAATTAAGGTTGTCTGTGGTATCAAGCTTTTCATGTGTCGTGGCCGAACTAATTCTTGACGGAAACATATGGCATGATCGTAGGAGTTGTGTGGGTAGATCTCTTCGTGCAGTGTCTGATGGTTCCCCCATTGTCGTTTACAGCAACCCTTGAGGGATTTCAGCGGTGGATATATGGCACTGTGGGGACCATGTTAGACCGTGTACTTTGTTCAAGGTGAGCTGGCTGTAGGGGTGTTCGTCGGTCGGTACAGTATGGTATTTAGACATTTCGGTTCGGTATTCGGTTTCGTAAAATGCTATACCAATACCGTACCTAATTAAATTCGGTATGGTTCGATTTTTCTCCTTTCGGTTTCGGTTTATTCAGTTTGAATACTAACTAGTGGATAGAGTCATAGACGGTAATATTCTTAATTAAAGTACTCAAAAGTATAAAACTAAAAACGTTTGTTGACAAAAGTTTTGTCCAAAACTAGCAAATACCAACCTAGAGAGAGAAAACTTAGAGAAATGTCTTGTTACTTGCTTAGAGTTAAATCGTTAATTGATGAACTTAGAGAATAAAGGAAAGTAAAATTTTAGATTTCTTATATTTATGTTATAATTAATAAAATGTGTATTGTGTAATATAATATATATTTCGGTATGGTATTGGTATTTCGGTATTTCATTTTAAAATTTCATTTTAAAATACCATACCTAATACCAATTTTTTTTTAAAACGTAAACCAAATACCATACCGAATACCAAATATCGAATACCGAATACCAAAATTTTCGGTTTCGGTACAGTAATTCGGTATTTACCAAATTATGCACAGCCCTAACTGGCCGGCACTGGATCATTCTATTCATTGTCGATTTGATATATTCTGCTGGCCGCTGGGACTTCCTTTTCCTCTTTGTTGTTGCTCTCGAGTTGTAAACCATCTTGCTGGGGAAGATAACCAGTTTATGGTGTTGGCATTGGTGTGAGAAGATGATAGCTCTGGCAACTAGCACTTGTTATTGGGAATCAACCATGTAATGGCTTTGAAGGAGACTATCTGCTCTATCTTTTGGTAAAAGCCTTAATCATCCACATAGAAGTAGGGGAGGCTCACATATCTGAGTCAGGGTGTAGGCTGCACCGGATGGGGTTTTAAGCATTGTGGACATCGGTTCACGCGATATGACATGTTTGGTGGGATTTTAAGTTTGCACTTTGGGATAATAATTACGATACTGGACCTTTCAAAACTTTTTTTGCATACGTATTGATTGAAAGATTGTCTCTTTGTGGATAAAGATTTTACCATTTGTTGTCTGTTGACTGTGCAGAGACTCTTTTGTTCAAGCTTTTTGATGGAGTTCTGAGTAGTTAAGTGGTTTCAGGATATTCATCGAGTCATTCTGCTTTATCACTACTGTTTCTCTCTATATATTGTCTTGCTCTATCTCTTCAAATCGAGTTTCCGCTGTACACTCTTTGTTTTATTTTATGTTCTAGATACCTTTGGCCGCATGCATCTGAAGAGCTAATCTCTCTCAAAATATTATTTTCTCTTTATGTTTTCCTGACGCTCTCCATTGTCCTGGTACAGCCAGCAAAGAGTGTTTGCCATTCAAGTGTTTGAGTTGCATCGACTAATAAAGGTAAAGCAACTCCAAAGGCTGAATCTCTTGTAGCAATTTGGGGGGAGGGTGTGAAATAGAAAATATGATCTATATACTGTTTTTCGATTCATTACTACGCTGCTCATGCATTTTTCCTGTTATTTTAACAGGTCCAGAAGCTCATTGCCGAGTCACCAAACAGTATGCTTGAAGATGCTGCTTATTTAGGCAAACCATTAAAGAGTTCGTCTGGTAAAAGACTGCCANTTTTAACAGGTCCAGAAGCTCATTGCCGAGTCACCAAATAGTATGCTTGAAGATGCTGGTTATTTAGGCAAACCATTAAAGAATTCCTCTGGTAAAAGACTGCCGTTGGAGTGTATTATTAGAGAATCTCAAAGTGTTCCGAAGCGCAAGAATGATTCTGAGAAGCCTAACTTCAGGATGGAATGCTCTGCTGAAAACACTGTGGGGAAGGCATCTCTTTCTTCTGTGCAAAACAGTAGCCAGCTCTCTAGCCACAGACCATTTTCAGGAAATCCCCCACCAACGCCTGTGACAAACGATGCTAACACGAGTCCCTGGTGCTTTCAACAACCTCCGGGGCACCAATGGTTGATCCCAGTGATGTCTCCTTCTGAAGGACTTGTATACAAGCCATTTCCTGGACCTGGATTTACGAGTCCTATTAATGGAGGTTGTGGACCTCCAGGGTCGATGGGGAACTTTTTTCCTCCAGCTATTGGAGTTCCTGGTCCTCATCCTCGCTATCAAGGAATGGGAGTTCCTTTCGCGCCTCCAACTGGTCACGGCTATTTTCCTCATTATAGCATGCCAGTTATGAATCCACCAATCTCATCATCTACTGTTGAAGAATCAAACCAATTTACTTCGCCAGGTTTTCAACGCCAGTTATCTGGAGGGGTTGATAACTTTAACATTCAACATCAGGACTCAAGTAATGGTCCGAGTGAGAAGAATGGAAATGTTCCAGATGTTTTAAGGTTTCAGGCCACCAGAGATAATGAGCTACAAGCCAGCACTGCAAGCAGTCCAAGTGAGAGAGCGGCAGTGAGTAACGCCACACAAGGAAGAAACATGCTTTCTCTTTTCCCCACATCTCCAGCTACGGACAACCCTGATCATTCAGCAAGAGTTATCAAAGTTGTACCTCACAATCCAAGGTCTGCCACAGAATCTGCCGCTCGGATATTTCAGTCTATACAAGAAGAGAGAAAACAACATGACACAGCTTTCACTCGTCTGTAGGTAGCACTTCATTGTGTTGTGAATATGACTATTTACTCATCCAAACAAATGTAGTGGTTTCGGTCAATTTGTTGTAACCTTTCTGATAGTATGTTATAGCTTGATTTAAATTTGGTTACGTTGCCACTATGTAGATAAGCATTCATACGAATTTACGTTATGTTGTTGCCCGGTGATTGCTTAGTCCAGCTGTTGTATACTGAAGTCAATTTTTGTTGTGTAAGTCGTTATTATCAGTTGTAATTTATCCTCTTGTTATTCTCTAATCTTCATCAAATTGTTTCAAAGTCGTCATTTAATTGTAATTTACCCTTTCATTCATGTCTGTTTAGATTAGTATATGTAATTTCTTAGATATATTCTTCATTCATCTAGTTCTCTCTGCAAATGTGTGTTTCAAGGCACCTTCTTAATTTTCACTTTAGCCTTCAGAATCCATGACATTTATTAAAGTTATTATCGCATTCACTTTAGCCTTGAGGTAATTGAGCAAAATCATTTGGACTTACTTCATGATTTTTTAATAACAGCTCGTCATTTCCTCATGCAAAATTAGACATGATATTAGTTCAGAATAATCTTAAAACTTTTTTTCAAAATATGGCTACTTCAAAAGCAAATTGGTGACATAGAAATAGAGAATTTTTTCTCTATTGTAACCTAATTCGCCGTATGTGATTTCAATTATAAACTGAATTTAACATGAGTTTTAAAATTTTGTACTCATTCATCTAATCATAACCAACATTATGTACTACCCTACCCTGGTAATTATATCTTTCTTGTAAACTCTGTTAAAGTTCAAATAAATCTTCTAAATGTATCAAGATTTGGCAGAATCTTTAAAGTTATGCGTAAAACGTTACAAGTATGAAGTAGTAAAATGTTAAAGACTAAATTAAGAGTAATCCGCTATTTATTTATTTTTTGAGAAGTTTTCAATCCACTATTGAGTGAGCACGGAAATTTTAATGCCACGTATTCTAAAATCTAATATGATAATGTTTCTCTGCCCAACCAAAACTTGGTTGTATACTAGTAGTAGAACATACTACAATTAGTAGTAGAACATACGACAATAAAAAAAGTTAATAAGAAAACTATGGTTAATGTTAACAGTATCAAAAAGGACTTCTAGATCAAGTCACAATGAACTACCAAAAATATTATCATGATAAAAAAAAAAATCTAGTCACAAGTCATAACTGTGCTCGATTACTTTTCATACGTTAAAAATAATGAATAATAATATCATTGGTTACAATTGTCAAAGCTTTTGTATTTTTCACTTCTAAAGTACTCGAAACCTTTTTCCTTGAGCACAAAAATTATTAAGAGAGTCACATTCTTTTATTTTTCAATTCTCTAACTTTAATCAAATCTTGGTTCTTACTTTCTCCCTTTTCTGTGCCACAATGAGACAAATAAATTTTAAAAAAAAGCGGCTGAATTTCAAAAACTCAGTTTATAGCCTCAGAATCGAACTGTGCTCGATTACTTTTCATACGTTAAAAATAATGAATAATAATATCATTGGTTACAATTGTCAAAGCTTTTGTATTTTCCACTTCTAAAGTACTCGAAACCTTTTTCCTTGAGCACAAAAATTATTAAGAGAGTCACATTCTTTTATTTTTCAATTCTCTAACTTTAATCAAATCTTGGTTCTTACTTTCTCCCTTTTCTGTGCCACAATGAGACAAATAAATTTTAAAAAAAAGCGGCTGAATTTCAAAAACTCAGTTTATAGCCTCAGAATCGAACTCACACACCTCCGACACTACGAGCCTTAACTTCCACCCTTGATCCAAAGCACCTAAAGATCTTTTTGCTTACTAGATGCTGACTATTCAAATTTATATATTCTCTTGCTATTATTTCCTATATAACTAACAGATTGGAAGTTGGGGTTAATGGGTGCTTAAGCACCATAAATTCATATGTAGATTCGCCCCTGAAGGGAGATAATAAAATATTCTAGTTATTATTAATTTCAAAGTTCAAGTTGTACTATAAAACAGATTAATATGATATATACATGAAAAAGAAAATAAATCATGGTGGAATAAAATCAAACATTATGTATTGTTAGCATCATATGCAACAAAACTAAAAGTACGCAGTATTGAAAGAGAAATTATTTTTCTTCTTTTTCGATGTGTACAATATGAAATTTAAAATCTATCCATAGCTATGTATTATGAACGCTAGAGAAATCATGAATGTATAGAGTAATCACTTAGGAATAATGCAATTATAAAAAAGAGTAGTGACTGATTATGTGTATCATAGTGAATATTATTGAGAAAAGAATATTAATACTTAGGAATACAAACAATATTTATATTGTTATAAAATAAAGACTATAAAGTAAATAAACTGAAGACAGGTATAGAGAGAGATTGATATATTATTCAACTTCAAACCAATGTATATAATGAACTGAAAACTCCTCTATTTATAGAAGAAAGGAAGCAGCAGCGAGGCTTTTCAGGAAGCAGCTGCGAGACTTTTCTTGAGTTGCTTGTAAGTTGTCTGCATGAGCTGCTTGCAACCTGCATGTTTAATAAGAAGTTGCTGCAAATTATTTCATTGAGTTGGCTTTTCAAGAAGCAGCTGCAAGGCTTTTCTTAAGCTGCTTGTAAGTTGTCTGCATGAGCTGTTTGCAACTTGCCTATTTAATAAGAAGCTGTTGTAAATCATTTCATTGAGTTGCTTGCAACCTACCTGCATCAGCTGCTTGTAGATAAATTTCAATAGAGTACCAAACGGATAATCTTCTTCAGGAAGATTATCTATGGCGGAGTAATAAATGGACATCCATAATATAATTATTTTCATAACACTCCCCCTTAGATGTTCATTAAAAGATATTGTGCCTCGTTAAAACCTTACTAGGAAAAACCCAGTGAAAAAATCCTAGTGAAGAAAAAATAGTACACATATTTAATAATACGCATTTCTAGTTGCCTCATTAAAAATCTTACAAGAAAAATCCCATGGGAAAAACCTTAGTAAGGGAAAAAGAGTACAACGCGTATTTCACTCCCCCTGATGAAAACCGTATTTCAAATATTTGAGTCTCCGCATTTGTCACGATCCAAAATCCCAACCTGTCGTGATGGCGCCTATCTCGATACTAGGCAAGCCGATAATCTCAATAAATCACAATTTCCTTTAAGTTTGAAAATATAATATTTAAATACAATACAAAATTTCACAAATATTGATACGAACATTTTCCCAAAACTTGGTGTCACCGAGTATATGAGCATCTAATATAAATATAATTCTGAAAAATACGGTCTATAATAGTCTAAGACCAAATACAGTAAAAAGGGAGATAGGGAAGGAGAGACAAAGTCTGCGAGACACGGCATCTACCTCTAAATCTCTGAAAAATCAACTGTGAGAGAGAATCAACACCCGCTATGTCCAGAAGCACCTGGATCTGCACACGAAGTGCAGGGTATAGTATGAGTACAACCAACTCAGCAAGTAACAATAATAACTAAGGAACTGAAGATAATGACGAGCTACACAGTAATAGTTCATTTTTCAGTAATTCTAGCAAAGAATAGGCATACTTTCCAATCTAGCAGTTTAAGTCAAATTAATTTTTTGTACAATTCATGTTCATGTAATCCGGATATAAAATCTTTCAGACAATTTCACAACAATGACAGATAGCAACTAAATGCAACAACAATGCAAAGCAAGTACAGTCTCTCAAGGCAAGAGTCACTCCACTCGACACAACAACTCAACCTCTCGGCTCTCAGCTCTCAGCGCTCACACTCAATGAGTACCCGAGCTCACTGGGGGTGTACAGACTCCGGAGGGGATCCTACAGCCCAAGCGCCATAATCCGCACGGACAACTCATGTGTTGTGCGGATAACTCACGTGTTGTACGGACAACTCACGTGCTATAATATCCTGCACGGATAATTCACGTGCCATAATATCTTTACCTCACCGACTGGCCCTCGGCCTTACTCAATCCCCAACATCTCTAGTCTCTGGGGCTCTCGAAAAATCACAAAGATCGGCCAAAACAATGATAACATAGCGAATCAACAAATATCAAGAAAGACTAAGGTATGATATGACTGAGTACATGACATCAATTAGCAAATAATTCAACAAGTACGCGACCTCTGTGGGTCCCAACAGTACTATCACATAACCTAAGCATGATTCTTAACATGGTTTACAGTCAAATTTCCTCAACACATAGAGAGCATATAGCTAACAACAAGTTATTCAACTTTATAGTTCCACGGGACGGACCAAGTCACAATCCCCTCGGTGCACGCCCACACGCCTGTCACCTAGCATGTGCGTCACCTCCAATATAATCACACGACACAAAATTTTCAGGGTTTTATACCCTCAGGACCAGATTTAAAATTGTTACTTACCTGAGAGCGTGAAATTCTTTAATCTGCTATACTTTTGCCTCACAAATCAGCCTCTAAATACCTCGAATCTAGTCACAAATAATTTGTTTCAGTCAATAAAATTTATTAGAATTAATTCCATAAGAAAATGCTAATTTTTCCATTAAAATTCGAAATGTAACTTAAAAATTGCCCATGGGGACCACGTCTCGGAACCCGACAAAAGTACAAAATCTGAAAGCCCATTCAACCACGAGTCTACCCATACCAATTTTACCAAAATTCGACCTCAACTCGACCCTCAAATCTTCAATTTAAACCAAGAGAATTTTCTAATCTCTCCAACTTAATTCACCCATTAATGTTAAAAGAAAAAAAAAATGGATTCGGGTAATTTGACCAATAATGAGTTAAGAACACTTACCCCATTGTTTTACTTGAAAATCTTCGAAAACTCGCCTCTCTCCCGAGCTCCTCAAGTCCAAAATTGAAAATGGAGGACAAAACCTTGAGCTGGGGTTTTCTGCCCAGTTAAACCCGTACCTGTGGTCCTAGTTTCGCACATGCGGAACCGTATCTGCGAACCGGGATCCGCTTCTGTAGAAATTCATTAAGATCCTGACTCCGCTCCTGTGATCACTTGACCGCATCTGCGGCCATCGCAGATGCGGGTCCTAAATCGCACCTCCGATCCATTTGCGCATATGCGCCTCTCAAACCGCTTCCGCGTCCGCCGCAGATGCGGAATTTCTATCGCACCTACGGTCTGAGCCCAGGTCTCCCTTAGCCGCACTTGCGGCTCTTTTTTTGCTCCTGCGACCTCGCACCTGCGGTTCCCACTCCGCAGGTGCGGAAAACACCAGT